GAGTTCAGAACAATTATTCATAGGGTTTCTATGAGTTGTAATCAAGTTGAGGGCACATAACAATACCACCATAGTGCCTCTATGAATAGTGTATCTGAACCTTGCCCTATCCTGTGAGAGTCTCATCATTTCTGGAATATTAAAGCTTACCCTTAGTAAGTGTGTCAATCCTTCTTGTTTATAGTCTTTCTGGTTACTACATATGTGTCCAAGACCTGGACAATGAATAAGGATGACAGAAAAAGAATTGAGACTTTTGAGCTGTGGTGTTAAAGGAGCACTGAACATCCCATGGACTGTCTAGAGAACAAATATATATGTCTTGGAAGGGTACATCCACAGTGCTCTTTGGAGGCAAGAATAATGAAGCTTCACCTCACAGACTTTGGACATATTGCTAGGAGGTGCTATTCCTTGGAGAGGGGCATGATGTTGGGAAGGGTGGAGGGTCGATGAAGGAGAGAAAGACTCTCAACCAGGTGGATTGACAAGGTGACTGCTGCAATGGGCTGTTTGTTCATAGGGAAGTTTGAGGATGGCACAGGACAGGACTGGGTTTAGATATTCTGTTCATAGGGTTGCTATAATTCATACTCAACTCAACAGCACCTAACAACAACAACAACAACTTGTTTCACTGATCCTCTACCTTCCCAAGCATGGTGTCCTTTACCAAGGACTAGAACTTCTTAATAATATGCCCAAAACATGTGATGAAAAGTTTCACTAGCCTTCCTCCAAGAAGAACCCTGGTTTGACCTTATCTAAGACTTCTCCACTCTTCTCCAAAACCACAACTCCAAGTCCTTGATTCTTTTTTTTATCATCCTATTTGTTGACCAATTTTCAGTTGCATAGTAAGTAATTGAAAATACCATCTTTTCAATAAGCTGCACATTAGACTTGAAATTAACACCATTGTTTTTTTAATACTTTGAAGAGGTCCTTGACATAAGACTTTTCCAGTGTAATACATCTTGATTTTATGATTGTTGGTGCCAAAGGTGTTGATTGTGGATCCACAAATGATGACATTTTTTACAATTTCTATCTCTTATCCATTTATCATGATACTGTTAAGATAGTAAGAGAAAAGATCAGATAGGGACTTGGAGGAAGAAACAGAAAAATTCCACTATAATGACATTTCAATTTTAGAAAATAGTTCTAAATATGTATCCTTAACATGTGTTGAATATTTTAAATATGTTTTAGCATAGATATTTATTTCATTTGTTTAATGCTTATGTATGTTTTGATATAAAATGAAACTTTATACCAAAACATTTTTACTTAATGGGGTTTGTAGAAAAGCAAGTTACATGGATCAACGTTGTGTTCTAAGTGTTGCCTAAGATAATATAAAAGCCTGAGAGTTTCCACTGTCTATTTGAAGAGGTAAAAACTCTTCAAGGAGAGAGAGGGAAGAAAAGATAATCAAGAGATATTTACCAAAAAGAGAAACAATTGCAGAGGGAAGACAAACAGGAAGTGTAGTGGAGGGAGAGGGAAAAGAGATGAGCAAATGGAATGTTGTGTGATGCTCTTGAGTTTTAGGATGTCTCATAGCAACTCTATGAACAACAGATCTGAATCTTGTCCTATCCTGTGGCAAACTCATAATCTATGACACACTCTAGGCCATTGCTTAGGGCTCTGTTTTAATCCATCATATTGAGGGTCTTTGTCTCCTTTGCCCTCCCTCCACCTTCCCAAGCATGATGTCCTTCTTCAAATAATGGCCTCTTCTAGTAACATTCCCAAAGTATGTGAGACAAAGTATCGTTGCCTCCAAGGAGAACTCTGGCTTCATCTTTTCCAAGATATATCTGTTTGTGTTTTTGGCAGGCCATGGGATATTCAGTATTCTCCTCCAACACCACAGTTTAAAGGCATTATTTTTTCTTCTTCTTCTATCATTCTTGTTCATTGTCTAGCTCTCAGATGCATGCAAGTGTTAGAAAAGACAATTATCTAAAACAGGTGCACCTTTGTCCTCAAACTAACATCACTGCTCATCAGTAATTTGGAGAAGTCCCTGACTACAGCCTTTCCCAGTACAGTACATCTCCTGGTATCCTAACTCCTGGTACCAAGTTGTGGATTTGAGTAAGATGAAGTTGTTGACAGTTTCAAACTTTTCTTCATCTATCTTAATATCACTTGTCAGTCCAGTAATGAGCAATTATTTTTTTATGGAACATAGGGTTAAAGGAAAGATAGGACAGAGAGAATTGTAATTACTGTTATAAAACCAAATATATAAGAGTGGGTGAAAGCCAATTATAAAATTATTATACCCCCCAAAATTTCTATAACATCTATAAGGAATCAATCATTATTTAAACGTATAAACTCTTTTTATGTTTCATTGATTGAAAATTTAAATGATGCAAGTAAAATTAATAGAGTATCTTTTAAAAAAATGTACTCAGGAAATGAAAACCAAACAGCACATTGAGTATTTATTACTAATTTTCTACAAATTTCTCTTGAGATAAGTATAATTAAGCCTTGCAGTGGATGTATTCCCTTTGGTCTCTGCTGAGGTTAGAAATACTTTATATTCCGTTACCATCTACAGTTTAGAATTCTTGAAGGTCCAGAAGCTCAATAAGTAAAAGTAAGTTTCTTTGTGAATCTTCATTAATTTCCTATTTAAAGTATTCTATAATTATACACCAATGTTATAGAAAGGAGACTAGATTAACTTTTCTTTCTTTGGAATTTTAGCTTTCTAATAATTTATGTAATGTGTTCAGATAATAATGCATGTATAAATACACAAGTAAAAATACACTCCCTTCCAAGCAGCTATTGTCAAAAAGGTTGTAGTGTTTGTAAAATAATAATAATTATATTATTCTTTATATCTAAGTGGAATATTAATTCATTACATTTGGAAAATGTTTCTCTATATATTCATATGATGTATATAACCAGAACTGGTAAAATAAAAACAAGATTAGAACCGGTACCTAAAAGAAGATTTTCTTCCCAGTTGGATTGACAGGGTGACTGCTGCAATTGTGCTTGTGTGTCAGGCAGTGTAAAGATGGCACAAGATAGAACAGGGTTCAGTTCCTTTGTTTGTAGGTTCACTATGAGTCATACTCAACAGCATCTAACAACAAAAACAATTACCTAGTAAAAGCATAAGATCCACAGTATAAAATGAGCAAGAAAAATTATATTAATTTATTTGAAATATCCTTTTAAAAACTCAACCAATAGAATTCGTGATTCTTAGTTCTCTGGTGAGGTTCTAGGAAAATTCCTTTGACTGAGGTTTGATAGAAACCTGTAAAGTCACAGGTTTCTTTTAATTCCTGTGTAACCTCTTTCTTGTCTCCACAGATGTCTGTATCTGAGTCCATGATGGGTGAAAACCAGTCCCTTTGCACCAGATTTACGTTTGTAGCTTTTTCCTCGCTAGCAGAGTTGCAGTCTTTGCTCTTCGTTATCTTCTTAGTTACCTATTTGTTTACAGTGGGAGGGAACCTCATCATCATTTGCCTGATCTGGGTCACTCCTTCCCTGCACACTCCCATGTATTTCTTCCTGGTGAATCTCTCCTTTCTGGAAATGTGTTATATCAGCAGTGTGGTGCCTCAGATGCTAGTGCACTTGCTGGTAGAGACCAAGACCATTAGCTTAGCAGGCTGTGCAGCTCAAATGTATATATTCGCCATATTGGGACTGACAGAATGTTGTCTGCTAGCAGCCATGGCTTATGACCGCTTTGTAGCCATTTGTTACCCACTACATTATACACTCATGATGGGCCCTGGTGTGTGTTTGAAACTGGCTGCAGCATCTTGGACCACAGGAGTGATGGTGGAATCTGCTCAGATCACTTGGGTCTTTACTTTGCCCTTCTGTGGAACAGGACAGATTCAGCACTTTTTTTGTGATCTCATGCCTGTAGTGAAACTGGCCTGTGTTGACACTAGCCAGAATGAGATTGTGATATTTGCTGTCTCTGTGATTTTCATCATGAGTCCCTGTCTTCTCATTCTGTGCTCCTATGTGCGAATTCTTGTGGCCATCATGAGGATCCCCTCAGCAGCGGGTAGACGCAAAGCATTCTCCACTTGTTCTTCTCATATACTGGTTGTTTCTCTGTTCTATGGAACTGCCTTATTCACTTATCTCCAACCCAAAACTTCCCACACTCCAGAAACAGACAAAGCAACTGCCCTCATGTACACAGTGGTCACTCCAGCCCTGAATCCTGTCATATATACCTTGAGGAATAAGGAAGTGAAGGAAGCTTTTCAGAGGGTAATACAAAGGAAACATCCTTGAAAACTGGCCGAACCTATACAATTACACTAGATAATAGCAAATAAAAATTTGCCTAACTTTACATAAATGTTCCTTAACAGTTTATGATATCTCTTCATGTCTTTAGCTCTTTAATTAAATATACTTAATTATATTAGATTATAATACATATAAATGTTATATACTATCAATAGATTGTGATACTTACATATATTTATCTTTCATTTATCAACTGTCTTATAGTGTGACATTTCATATTTTTGACAATTATAAAAAAATTCTATGAACTATTTTATACATTAATGATATATGTCTGCCAGTAACCAATACTGAGATATGAGAGAAGAGTACCCCTCACTGTATTAAGCAGCAACTTGACAGAGCCATGATCCTCAGTGGCTTGGCAGTTAATTCACAATATAAATTAACTCTGATGAAATTGTATTCATACTCCATTTTGTCATCTGAGGTAGTGTCTTCCATTTTTCCACAGTGTCGATTTCCACGTAATGGACTACTCTTCAGATCAAGTGCAATCATGCTAGCAAGTCAGGAGGGAGACAGATGATAGATGATAGATAGATAGATAGATAGATAGATAGATAGATAGATAGATAGATAGATGATAAAAAATAGAATCCGTTTTTGGAGTCTGTAAATCTCACAGAAGGAGAATGTCCATCTCTCGCTCTCTCTCGCAGACAGCTACCTACTGGATTAAAAATCACATGGCACAGCATTGGCAGCATAACTTCTTAACACCCAGCTGCCAGATCTCTCCCTCATGTAATTTACAGCCTCCTAAAACCGATTAAAGAGTCAAGTATTATTGATTCCAACTTAGGGGTAAACACATCATCTGACCCTCCAGTTGCTTTCCAAAACAGTAAATTACATGGAAATTTCCAGTCCTTCTCTCAAAGAGTGACTAGTAGATTCAAACAACCAGATAGGCTCAGCCCTTGCATTAATAGCACAACTTCCTATGGATTATACCAACAGAATACACTTTGGGATAGATAGTATAGGAGGTTAAATGTGGACATGTTATATAGAACCGGTCTAAATAGAATCTAAAAATGAATACTTGATAATTGCCTCTCTAATTTGTCTGACTCCTTGTGTGTAATTATAAATTCATTTCCAAAGTCAAGAGACAGAATTACAAATCTTACAGACATTTTACTGGGCAATGTCTTACCATATGAAGTTTAAATTTCATCACATTAATATTCTGATTCTTCTTTATCCCACTGATTTACTTTGTATATATGAAATTATTACCTTCCTTAGGAAAATCTTAATAAACACAACTTTAACAACAAAATTAGTTAGAAATATCTGTAGGAGTTCCAAGAGTATATTCATATGAAATATGTTAAAGCATGATTATTTTGCAATATACCAAGAGAAACGATTGCTAATGACTGGCTATTACTTAAATTGAATATTGTCAACTTCACTATTTCTTTCTCTAATTGCTTCAAATGAGTGTTATGAATGAGCAATGAATACACAATGAACTAAGTCTGCGTCTGTTCAACAGAATATTTATTCACTATTAAAATTTTTTGGCACTTTATACAATATGATACCATTTGCTTTTAGGATTAAAAACTACAGTCTCAAGGATATAAAGAGTAATATTAAACCTTTTTATGCACATTGAAGAATACTTTCAATCTTTTTTTTCTGCTTATTTTCTACTTTAGCCGCTTTTTTACTGTACAGGTTTGTTGGCTAGAATGACATACTAATTCCCTTGTGCCAATAGAAAGTGATTTTCCTCATAATGAACATTTTTAAAGTTTTCATAATTTTCTCTATGGAATTTTCTTTCAATGAGCTTCATATTTTTTTTAAAATATTTAAAATAATTCAATTACAAAAGATATTACTCTTTTCTTTGTATTAATGCTTACAAGATTTAGTCATTATACAGGAGTTTAAAGGTTACTAAAATTCAGTGAAGACGTATCCTCTTATTCTACCTCAGAATCTTCACACAATAATAGCAAGGTAGAGTTTATTTTAAGGAACATTAGTGGGAACACTAGGGAATTATGATGGCCTAGTGGGTACAGAGTTGCACTATCAACCCAAAGCAGGCAGTTCAAATCCACCAGCTGCTGTGTGGAAGAAACATAGAAAATTTTCTCCCATGTGATTTACAGCCTCTGAAAACCTCCTTTATGGTCAGCAATGACCATATGGGGTTCTGAATTGATGGCAATGAGTTGAATTAAGGGTAAAAGACTTAAGTAGCTAAGTGTTCAATTCTAACCAAGAAGTTGGTGTTTTAAATCAAATAACCACTCTGTCCAGTGGTGAGAATCTTTGTCTTCTTGACATTGAGCCTCAGTCCATACTGAAGGCTGCAGTCCTTGACCCTCTGCAGTAAGTGCATGAGGTCCT